GTGGCCGTGGGTGAATGCGTTCCACGCCAGGGACGGAGACGGTAACCAGTTGCGAGGCGCTTCTATCGCCAGCCTGAGTATCGTCTTCCTTCGTCCAGGGTCCTCGATTTGTTTGCAGTGGCATTGAAGCGTTAACTACTTCCGGGGCTATTTGTTGCTTGGTAACATCGCGCCTTGACGGTTTCACGAATCCATTGGTCTGTATTATCTGCGCATATTTTTCCGCCGATGCCCGGGGCATTCTGGTTCTCACTGGATCGGTTAGGTTGACGTAAAACAACCCATAACGAACCGAGTACATATGCATCCATTCAAAGCTGTCCATCAACGACCAGACCGTATACCCTCTCACGTCCACGCGATCCAGTTTCTGTGCTGTAAATATAAAGGCAAACGAATTTAATTTCTTCCACCGTTTATGTTTTATACATGGCCGCGACTAACACACTTTTAGAGGGGCAAGGGTACAGTTTTACGGGAAATTTACAATTTACACGGAAAAAAGACGTTTTTACAGTTTACAGTGAGAATTGAAATTTGCAGTGAATAGCGTCATCTAGTCGTTTTACAGTTTCGAAAATGTAATTTCCCTGGATTATTCTTTACGATTTTTTTATTTGAATGTAAATTCTTGTACGTACCGAGAACAATTACGCATTTTTACAGTGTACGAACAAAATATTTGATTGATTATATTGTACGTCTAGCCTGTGATTACAGAATTACGGAATTTATTTTTTCAATTTACGTACGAACAAAAAATATTTCAATTACGTTGAACGAAAATAACCCTTGCCCCCCTCACTTTTAGAAAAGGAATTTCATGAGCTATGTGATTGGCTTTTTGACTTGTGGTGCCCGAAATAGTTTATGAATTATGAATGCACGCATTTTACCTATTTTTAAATCCAAAAAAGGGCCGCCAAAAAGCTAAAAGAAAATCGCAAAGTGAAAGTGCGTGGTTCGTTTGGTCAAATTTGAATAATGTCGCATAATGAGTATAGATGAGGTACACTGACGTCACGTCCGAGCTCGTAAGTTGATAAGGAAATTATTCGAAACAATATGGAACTCATGCACTATTTAAAGCGGGGGAGTCGTCACCTGCGCATGTGTCAGATGGCCATAACATGTCATTGTTTACAAACAAGCGTCTACCCATGAACCTTTGCGTTTTTAGCGTGTGTTATTATCGTCCTTGGGACTCAATTCCCCGCATGCGCAGGATGACGACCCTCCCGCT